TGACTATAGATTAGTCCATAGTCTTGACTATAGATTAGTCTATAGCTTGACTATAGATTAGTCCACATAGACTTGACTATAGATTAGTCTATAGTCTTGAATACAGATAGTCCGTATTTTTGACTATAGATTATTCTGTAGTCTTGACTATAGATTAGTCTATAGATTAGTCTATAGTCTTGACTATAGATTAGTCTATAGTCTTGACTATAGATAAGTTATAGTCTTGACTATAGATAAGTCTATGGTCTTGACTATAGATAAGTCTATAGTCTTGACTATAGATAAGTCTATAGTCTGACTATAGATAAGTCTATGGTCTTGACTATAGATAAGTCTATAGTCTTGACTATAGATAAGTCTATAGTCTTGATTATAGATTTGACTATAGTCTTTACTACAGATAAGTTTTTTGTCTTGACTGTAGATTAGTCTATATTCTTGACTGTAGATTAGTCGACAATCTTGACTTTAGAGTAGTCTATATTCCTGACTATAGATTAGTTTATAGTCTTGACTAATAGATTAGTCTCTGTCTAAGCAATTGATAAATTTAGTCTGTAGTATCAACATGAGATCAATTTATAAACTCGACTATAAATTGTTCTATTGTCCGATTATAGATATACTATGGTCTTTACTATGGATTCGCTATAGTCACGATGGATTAGTCTATAATTTAGATCGGTTTATATCGCGACTGTCTCGAATATAGGCCAGTCAGTAATCTCATCTATAAATTTGTATATAGTCAGTCTGTACTATAGACTCATATGTTGTCGAACCGTACTAATCTATAATCGAGACTATACTGAGAACGACAATGAATGAGACCGACCAATCGATGCTCTTCTGCGCCTCAAGCAGCAACACTAATGCTTCTCCCCTCTATAAAGATGTACAAAGTATGTAATTAGTTTAACGTCCTTATTTTAACAATAATAATCGTAATTTTGAAATGAAATATTAATTATATAACTACACAACATTTATGAAATAATTTGAATTATAACATAATGGAAAGATAGTTAATAACAATTATTTTTTAAAAATATTTTGTAAGATTTGCCATATTTCCATAGAATTTGTAGCCCGAAGCTATAAAAATAATCTTCATTACAAATTTTCTTAAAATGAAACTAAAAATATTAGCTACTTATTTGATTTCAAAATATAATATACTTTTTAAATACAATACCAAAAACCACAGTGTTTGTAATAAAAGCAAATAAATATGCCTAAAAGCATACCACATTTTCCGGCAAAGTCAATGTTAGTTTTTCATCCTCCTTCTTAGACAAAAAAGAAGAAAGCCTTGTAAATTTAGAAATCTTAGTAGATTGTTTACATTAGAACCCATAGACCAACAATGTCCCACACACATTTGTTCCTCGTCCTTTCTTTACAATTGATTAATTGTAAAAGACAAGCTTATTTGTTGAAAACGAACGTGTATAAGTCTAGGAGAATTAAGTGTGTTTTACAAGAGTAGTCCTTGTATAGAGACATTACCTACTTATTCCTTTTACATTTCCTATTCCACATTAACTTTTCTAGGTAATTTATTGTTTGCCTAAAAGTCTGCCCTTTATTATACAAGTGGTGCCTTGGAAAAATCCTTTGGCATGTGTTAAAATACATGTTGTACATTTTAATGTTAACATTGTTACAAAAATATAATATATATACAGTTAGACGTACACATATGGCTTAAAGGATACTGTTAAATGGTCATACAATAAGGTTCTTTCAACAAAAAGTCAAGTGTTTCAGGGGCAAAAAAAAGGTTAATTATGAGATTTTTCTCTTTTTTAATTTTTTTAAGGATTAGGAAAATATTTGTATGGATGTGAGTTTGTGGATTTTGGAATGGTTTTAAAGAAAAATTCTATAATTTTAATTTAAAACTCCATTAAAGGGAAAAAGTATTTAATAAGAAACTAAAATTATTCTAGGGAAATTCTGTTTACAGCTAAAAACATGCAATTACTAATTACATGCCTATAATCCTAAAAGTATGCACTTTTGTTTTTTCATGTAAAATTATAGAAAAAGTTTGTTATTTTGAAATTAGGCGGCACAGATCTGCAGTCGAAATTATAGACAGATTTATAGTGGATGCTGGACACTGATGTATTTTCAAAACTATAGACAGAAGTACCGTCGATCAGTATATAGTCTAGGCAATAATCAAAGGCAAAAGACCAGTCTATAGTCCAGGCTATAGATCAATCTATAGACGCTACTATAGATCGGTCTAGAGTATAGTCAGTCTATATTAAAATAGATCAGTTAATAGTCTATAGTCTAGAAATCAGTTTACAACCCCGACTATAAATCGCTCTATAGTCTATACTTTATATCTGTAAATAGTATTAACTATGAATCAGTCTTTAGTCTAGAATATAGATCAGTTAATAGTTTCGACTAGATTGATCTGACTGTAATCTATATTACAGATCAATATGGATCGACAGCAGATGATTCTATAGTCTAGACTGAATATCAGTCTATATTCTCAAGTACAGATTAGTCTATAGTCGCAATTACAGATTAGTCTATAGTTTCGACTAAAGATCAGTCTATAATCTCGACTATGGATCAGTCTATATTCTCAACTACAGATTATTCTATATTTTCGACTACAAATCAGTCCGTAGTCGCCATTACTGATCAGTCTATAGTTTCGACTAAAGATCAGTCTATAGTCTCGTCTATGGATCAGTCTATCATCAATCATTCTATATTTTCGACTACAAATCAGTCTATAGTCTCTATAACAGATTAGTTTATCTCGACGAAAGATCTCGACTAAAGATCAGTCTATAGTCTCGACTAAATATTAGTATATAGTCTCAACTACAAATCTGTCTATAGTCTTGACTAGAAATCAGTCTGTAGTCTCGACTAAAGATCAGTCTAGAAAGCATTCTGTCGTCTCAACAACAGATCAATCTATAGTCTCTACTATATATACTCAGTCTATATTCTCAACTACAGATTAATCTATATTCTAGACTACAAATTAGTCTGTAGTCGCGATTACTGACAGTCTATAGTCTCGACTAAAGATCAGTCCATAGTCTCGACTATGGATCAGTCAATAGGCTTAACTACAGATCATTCTATATTCTCGACTACAAATCAGTCTGTAGTCTCTAGTACAGATCAGTTTATAGTCTCAACTAAATATTAGTATATAGTATCAACTACAAATCTGTCTATAGTCCCGAATACTATACTATAGATATACTATAGATCAGTCTAGAAGGCATTCTGTAGGCCCTACATCTGATCAATTTATAGTCTCTACTAATCATCAATCCATATTCTCGACTATGGATCAGTCTATAGTCTCAACTACAGATCATTCTATATTCTCGACTACAAATCAGTCTTCAGTTTATAGTCTCTACAAAATATTAAAATATAGTCGTGACTAGAAATCAGTCTATAGTCGTGACTAGAAATCAGTCTATAGTCTCTACTATAGATCAGTCAAGAGTTTCGGCTTAAGATCAGTCTAAAGTTCGGCTATAGATCAGTCTAAAGCCTCAAGTAGAAAGCATTTTATATTCTCTACAACAGATCAGTCCATAGTCTCGGCTAAAGATCAGTCTATTTGATCGACTATAGATCAATCTATAGTCTCGCATATATGTACATATATCAGTTTATAGTCTCGATTTCAGATAATTCTATAGTTTCATCTACTTAGCAGTCTATAGTTTCGTTTAAAGCTTCATGTATAGGTGAGTCTATAGTCTCTAGTAAAGATCAGTCTCTATTCTCTACTACAGATTAGTCTATAGTTTCGACTAAAGATCAGTCTATAGGCTCAACTATAGATCAATCTATGGTCTCGGATATATATCAGTTTATAGTCTCGATTACAGATAATTATATAGTCTCATCTGGTGATCAGTCTATGATCTCACTGATCAGTTTTAATAATTCCCTACATGTTGTCTTCTTATTTAGAGGGCACAAGTTCTAGTCATAGAACCACTCCTAAGACTTGGAATATAACTTCAAAAACTCCAGCTTGTCTATATGATTCTTTGCCAACAAACATGATAGTTTATTTTAGTTATTATACCAAAAAAATTGACTTGAAAAGATATTTTTGATTATTTTTAGTTCTTTTTGGGGAGTAAAAGGAAAAATATGATAATAAAACAATAGCAAAACTAAAGAATCATAAATAATTCTTCAGCATATTCAATGAAATTACCCTGAGTAATAGTAAAAATAACTTGTTATAAGAGTTTGAAGATGTAGTTTTTTTGTACAAAATATAAAATATATTTTACAAAATGGCTTTTTGCTGTTAAAGTTAAAAGGAAAATGTAAAAATGAAAAAAAAATATATTTTTGCACAATTTGGGAAATTTTCTATCATTCAGTGTTCTTGAAGTCAAAAATTGAACTTTCAAATATTTACTTAAGTTGTGTTTTTTTGTGAATGTTTAAAAAAAAATATATATATATAATTTTTTGGTAAATGTATTGTGTTGACTTTATAAAAAAAATTAGCAATTTGTATTATGAGAGTCATTACCCCACTTTTTGCATTTTTTCTAAGAAATTTGTCGTTTTTTTTTTTTTCGTTTGTCGTCTCTCTTTCTATATATAGTAAGTATTAGTTTGAGTTTAATGTGTCCCCATTGTAGGAAGGTTTTATAGTTTTGTATGCTTTTGAAGTTATTACCTTCCTAACCACTAGCAATTATTATGCACAGTGGGTTGGTTGGTTGGTTCTGGAAATTAGATTTTTAGTAAACAAAATTTGTTAGATTTTAACATGTTTTATCATGTTTTTTACTTTACTTTATTTCTTAACAAATAAAAAAAAACCTGCCCATAGTGTTTAAATGGAAAAAAATACCAAATACTATTAAAATAAATTTGTTGTTGAAAAACTCATCTTATTATTTTTTTTAGCTGGTAGTTGATTTTAATGTTATTCATGTCATTTGTTTCTCTCTCATCTTTTGCAGACCTTGTGACCGTAATCTGCGAGATGTTGAATTGATATCCTGTCGTCTGCGTCGCGTGGAGCCGCTGTGTCGCCTTCCTGGCTCAGCATTGCAGCAATTGGCCATGTGCGGTTTTTATGAAGATCTTGAAAAAGGCGTTACACGTAAGTGCTACTCGCTTTAAAGCTATAAATATGAATGAGCGTATAAATAAAAGAGTAAATAACACACCAAACCACCCACTCACACTTATACAACAACAACTAAAGTGGGGTATAAGTAATTGTTAGTGGTGGATTTGAAAAGGAACAAAAAAAAGACAACAACAACTACTATAACAAGCATGATTGCTAACAATTTGTTATTCTGCTCTAATGCTTCTTTTTTCCCACTTTGTTTCTGTAGTCTTGTTTTTTTTTTTCTGTTCACTTTCATTCATTTTGGCTTAATGCCTAAATGTATGCTAACAAATTTTCATAAAATTTTTCTTTACTTTCTTTAGTTTTTCGTGCCGGTGAACAAGGTCGTTTTTGGTATGCTGTTTTAGGTGGCTCTTTAGAGGTTCGCTATCATGCCACCGATGCTGACGGAAAGGTTAGTAAATGAATAAAAAAAAAACTAAAAAACTAAAAGTCCACAGTTCAAGTAGTTGCAGTAGTAGTAGCTACTTCTTCTTAAATGGCTCTTGTTGTAGTTTGATAGCTGGAAAAATCTTTTGAAAATCATAAATTTTTAATAAGTTTTCTCTAGCTAAAAGGTAATGTGGGGGGGGCGGGGGTTACTTGTCTTTTAGTATGAAATAGAATTTTATATAAAAATTATGCTGAATGTAACAAGATACAAAATTTATCTAGGATTTCATGTGTTATAAGAGTCTTAGGAAAAAGTTGTTGTTGTTTAAAGTGTTGGATTTAGTTTTTGGTGAGAAATTTCGAACGTATTTATTCTAAGTTTTTTTCATAAAACAACTTAAATGTGTTGGAATCAGTGCTATTAAGGTTTTATACCCTACACTAATATAATGGGGAGGGTGTTATGCGTTTGAGCTGATGTTTGTAATACCCAAAAAGCTCCATCCATCTATCTATCTATCTATCTATCTATCTATCTATCTATCTATCTATCTATCTATCTATCTATCTATCTATCTATCTATCTATCTATCTATCTATCTATCTATCTATCTATCTATCTATCTATCTATCTATCTATCTATCTATCTATCTATCTATCTATCTATCTATCTATCTATCTATCTATCTATCTATCTATCTATCTATCTATCTATCTATCTATCTATCTATCTATCTATTTATCTGTCTGTCTGTCTATCTATCTATCTATCTATCTGTCAGTCTGTTTGTCTAAAAAAAATACTGCACATTTTTGAACTAACTCCCTAAAGTATGGTATCATATGGTCGGCCAGGCTTTACTATACATTCTTACTTATTTTTTTTAAATTTTATTAGTTAGCTAGTGTGGCGCCAAAAACTTCAGTTGAAACACATTTAAAAGTAGAAAAAATCGTAATAATGATGATAACATTTACAAATTACTTTTAGCATGAATCAAAAACTTACGTTTATCGCAACTTTTGAAACAATAGACAATGCACTATGGGATAGAAAGTGTTACTGGGGTGAAAATCAAAACTAAATATTAGTATTTGTTTATACCTAATGGCTGCAACGAAAGTTATATAAAATCTTAAAAAGTGTTCATAATATGAAAATTTCGAAATATCAAGGCTATGAAATTAAATGCACTATGGATCGAAATTAATTAATAATCTTCAGCCAAGATGTAGGAAATTTAATTTTCCACAAAAATTATAACATATAAACTCGTAAGATGCATAGCAAGAGAGATATTTGCGAATATTCTCTGAGCGAATACGGAAACAATTCTTTAATTATAAAAGTACTTTTTTAATACAATTTGAATAAATTTCAAATTAAAAAAAAAAAATACGAAATTGCATCTACTATGCTATAAAAATCATAAAAGCAACCTATAAATATGGAATAATTTTTAAAGAAAATCCATCTAAACATTTTCATCTGACTTTCCATAGAAAAGCACATATTTATGACACATGATTTAGAGCAGCTATAAAAATTGACGCGTGTATGTGCTCAAAACTCAAATGAATATGAATTGCAAAGATGTTGAGAATCAACTATTTTAGCAGTAGTCAGTCATGACTAAACAAACACTTAGTACTACAAACATATATATTTATTGTGAATGTAAAAATACTTACGGGTAACAGGCAATAAGTAGTAGCCGCTTTATTTTGGTGATAAAAATAAATAGAAAAAAATATAATAAACTATTATTATCTAAATGGTTGAAAGAATTACTTTCAATATTAATAAAATATATACAACGAATATGTATGATAATAAAAAAAAATTATATATGAATATGTCCTTGACTTATGAGAACTGGGATTATTTATATAAGTAATGCATACTTTCGTTATATGCAGATAATGTGAAAAAAAGTAATTTGAAAAAAATGTAATATACAAATTATTCTGATCCCTATAGGAATTGATAAATAGAAAGTATTTTGGAGGGAAACTGCACAACCGACAAGTCTGTATTGACAAATCTATGGGTTAACCTAGTGTACAGAAAATGGTATGAAAAAAGGGGATTTTTTTAAAAAACTTCCTAAAAGGTGCAAATTAAAAAAGTTTTGAATATTTAATTAAAAAAAGTATAATGTTGAAAAGTTTTCAACAAAAGGAAAAATTAAAAAAAAATCGTGAAAATGTTGAGAAAATTTTTTTTTTTAAATTTCTAAGATAAAGAAAATTCAAAAAAATTTAAAAAAGGGAAATATTGTGAAAAATTGCTAAAAAATAAAGTTTTGAGTTAGTTAGTTAGTTAGTTAGTTAGTTAGTTAGTTAGTTAGTTAGTTAGTTAGTTAGTTAGTTAGTTAGTTAGTTAGTTAGTTAGTTAGTTAGTTAGTTAGTTAGTTAGTTAGTTAGTTAGTTAGTTAGTTAGTTAGTTAGTTAGTTAGTTAGTAGTTAGTTAGTTAGTTAGTTAGTTAGTTAGTTAGTTAGTTAGTTAGTTAGTTAGTTAGTTAGTTAGTTAGTTAGTTAGTTAGTTAGTTAGTAGTTAGTTAGTTAGTTAGTTAGTTAGTTAGTTAGTTAGTTAGTAGTTAGTTAGTTAGTAGTTAGTTAGTTAGTTAGTTAGTTAGTTAGTTAGTAGTTAGTTAGTTAGTTAGTTAGTAGTTAGTTAGTTAGTTAGTTAGTTAGTTAGTTAGTTAGTTAGTTAGTTAGTTAGTTAGTTAGTTAGTTAGTTAGTTAGTTAGTTAGTTAGTTAGTTAGTTAGTTAGTTAGTTAGTTAGTTAGTTAGTTAGTTAGTTAGTTAGTTAGTTAGTTAGTTAAGTTAGTTAGTTAGTTAGTTAGTTAGTAGTTAGTTAGTTAGTTAGTTAGTTAGTTAGTAGTTAGTTAGTTAGTTAGTTAGTTAGTTAGTTAGTTAGTTAGTTAGTTAGTTAGTTAGTTAGTTAGTTAGTTAGTAGTTAGTTAGTTAGTTAGTAGTTAGTTAGTTAGTTAGTTAGTTAGTTAGTTAGTTAGTTAGTAGTTAGTTAGTTAGTTAGTTAGTTAGTAGTAGTTAGTAGTTAGTTAGTAGTTAGTTAGTTAGTTAGTTAGTAGTTAGTTAGTTAGTTAGTTAGTTAGTTAGTTAGTTAGTTAGTTAGTTAGTTAGTTAGTTAGTTAGTTAGTTAGTTAGTTAGTTAGTAGTTAGTTAGTTAGTTAGTTAGTTAGTTAGTTAGTTAGTTAGTTAGTTAGTTAGTTAGATAATCCAAACGAATATCCCTGCGTCCATTTACAGTCTGGTCTGTAGCTGGCTACCTTTCACGATCAATAATTAGTCTATTAACTATTCCCATCATCGACAATAACTTTTGCTTAAAGTATACCTCAGGATTTTCAAACCCTGCTCTGAGGAGTAGTGGAAAAATGCATTTGAGAAACTTTTCATCTTAAACTTCACTGCATCATACCAATCACTTTAAACTGTTCCAATTAGGTAGTATTTTTCTCTACTTAGAATCAAATTATAAACAATTTAGTTATTCCCCGTTTCTACTACTATTTTTTACTATAGTAAAATTAATGACAAATGCCACAGTCAGAGAGACAAACAGACAGACCTTGTTGACAAATATGGGTGTCAATTACAAATTCACAAACAATTTTAGAAGTAGCGTAAAGAAAAAAACAAAATAAGCATTTCGTACTACATTGTACATGTCAAAAAAGCGCTTTCAATTGAAAATATCAAATGCATTTCATATTTATGAATAAATAAATATACTGTTAGAACTATACTTACATTTATGTACATATATGCATACATATGTAGAACATGTGTACTATATATTCACAGACAATTGGCAAACAAATGGGAATATATGAGCCATGAATATTAAATTAATAACCCAAACTATTCCATATTCTATGTGTTTTCATATAAATTTTAATCGTTCTTAATTCAAATTCCATATTTTTTTATTACATACTTTAGCCGAAAGTGTGGGGGAGTATATTTGTTTTGTTATGTCATTTGTAATACTTCGATGTAATGATAAGAGATCACGAAATGTATCATTCAATGCTAAACAGTGACCAGTAAGCTCATTGACTCGTTTTGAGAGAGAGAGAGAGAGAGAGCTCTTTGCCAATATCAGTTTTATATATAATAACAAATTTAGGTATTGGATGGCTTCATAGACTTTCGTTATAGCTGAGTATAGTTCTCTTGACTATTTGTTTGCTAAAATCCTCAGTAGAGTGTAACCTACACCCGCTCTCACCCCCCTTTACAAGACAATAATAACTAGAAGAAGTAGAAAAATACAATGAGAACAAATTTAATTTAACAACATGACAATCATAATGTCATAATATGACTATGTACAACAAGAACAACAACTACAACACCAACAATGGAAAACATACTTTGGAGAAAATTGATATACCCCTTCCTAGTTTAGAGGCAATAACAACAACAACAACAACGAAAGAACAGTGACACAAAAAAATATGCCACATATTTAGACTACAAGTCACCGAACAGATATTACAAGTTAGAATAATATTCGTTAAAACCGACACGAATCTAACCTACATTAGACTTATAGATAAGTCCAGTTTATATATCAGTCTATAGGCAAAACTATAGATCAATCTGTAGTCTATAGACTAGACTATAGGTCATTTTATAGTCCTGACTATAGATCACTCTTTTGTCTAGACTATAGATCTAGATTTAAACTTCACTATAGATCAGCCTGACTACAAATCAACCTATAGTGCAAATTAAAATTCGGTCTATAATAAAACAATAGATCAATACATAGTTCTGACTATAGTTCATTCCTTAGTCTACAGATCAGTTTATAGCCAAAAACTATAGATCAATCTCTAGTAGAGGCTATAGATCAGTCTTTAGACAAGATTATAGATTAGTTCATAGTCCTGACTATAGATCTACATAGTGTCTTGGTTATAAATCAGTCTATAGCGCATACTAAAGACCAGTCAAGAGTCCAGTCTTTTGATCTGTTTATAATCAA